CAGACAAGTCTGGATAAAGTAAGGAAAAGTGTATTTGAAGTCGGGAAATTGTTTGGAAGAAGTCGGAGAGGTCAGGAAAGGGCTGGATAAGGTCTGGAGAAATCTAGACAAGTCTGGATAAAGTCTAGCTTAATCTGGAAAAGTCTGGATACGTTTGGATATAGTCTGGAAAAGCCAGAAAATTTCTAGAAACGTCTGGAAAAGGCTCTATTAGGTCTGGAGAAATCTAGACAAGTCTGGATAAAGTTTGGAAAAATCCAGCTAAGTCTATAAAAGTCTGGATAAAGTCTGGGAAAGTCTGGAAATTTCTGGAAACGTCTGGAAAAAGGTTGATACGGTCTGGAGAAATTTAAACAAGTCTGAATAAAGTCTAGCTAAGTCTGGAAAAATCTGGATAAAGTCTGGAAATTTCTGGAAACGTCTGGAAAACGCATGGAAATTTCTGGATTGGGTCGGAAAAATTCTGGAAAATCTGGAAAGGGTTGAATTTTAGCGGATCTCAAAGCTCACAATAATCACAAGCATTAGCGTTGAAGTTTGCTTCGGCATTTTCAATGTTCTCCTCGGTTGCATTTTTGCGAAGGACTGTGAATTTTTTATTTATGTGACAATTCTCTGACAATATGTCTATTAGCTGTGCTATTAGATATTGCTCTGTAGATGGTTGTTTTTCAAAGATTCAAAGCAAGGAAGTGGTTTAATATTTTTTCGAGGTCCAATAGAAGAATCTAGGTATGTATGTAACTTCATGAAAATGTAAAAAAAAAAATTAAGACTCGATATCTCGTATTATACCACAGCACACAAATAGTTAATAACTCGGTTTATAATAACACCTTGATTATGGTTATGATTATTCTGTTTTAATTAAACCACTTCGAAAAATGTATACCTACGAGTTCCATAAAACAGAATGAGATAAGTAGACATACGCACACCGTACATTCAAGAAATGTGATCGATTTAAAATCATTATGATATACCATACAAAAATAATTCGTCACCAACTCCATCCATCGCATTTGAAATTTCTTCACTAAAATAACATCTATACAACTTATCTCACTGTTACATTTAATGTATAGTGTACATTTAAAACAAAAATTATGCTGTTTTTTGTACAACACCTAATAAATATTTTCCATTTTATAATTATTTTGATGGACTTGATTTAAAAAAAAGAGCGCGAAGCGCGCTCGTGACCTAGTCTGACTATAAAATCGAGATGTTAGTTCAAGGTTGTCACCGCTTTAATTATGCAAATAAGGCAATCGGAATATAAAATCGATATGTTTATGTTAGTTCAAGGTTGTTACCGCTTTTGCATACATTGAGTGCCGACTCATAGATAGGCAATTACTTATACATAATAGAAGTCGGGTAAGTGTTTGGAAGAAGTCCGGAGAGGTCAGGAAAGGGCTGGATAAGGTCGGGAGAAATCTAGACAAGTCTGGATAAAGTCTGGATAAGGCTGGAAAAAGTTTAGCTAAGTCTGGAAAAGTTTGGATAAGTTTGGATAAAGTCTGGAAAAGCCAGAAAATTTCTGGAAACGTCTGGAAAAGGCTCTATTAGGTCTGGAGAAATCTAGACAAGTCTGGATAAAGTCTGGAAAAATCTACCCAAGTCTGGATAAAGTCTGGAAAAGCCTGGAAAAGTCTGGAAATGTCTGGAAACCTCTGGAAAAGGCTTGATAAGGTCTGGAGAAATTTTGACAAGTCTGCATAAAGTCTAGCTAAGTCTGGAAAAATCTGGATAAAGTCTGGAAATTTCTGGAAACGTCTGGAAAACGCATGGAAATTTCTGGATTGGGTCGGAAAAATTCTGGAAAATCTGGAAAGGGTTGAATTTTAGCGGATCTCAAAGCTCACAATAATCACAAGCATTAGCGTTGAAGTTTGCTTCGGCATTTTCAATGTTCTCCTCGGTTGCATCTTTGTGAAGGACTGTGAATTTGTTACTTATGTGACAATTCTCTGACAATATGCCTATTAGCTGTGCTATTAGATATTGCTCTGTAGATGGTTGTTTTTCAAAGCAAGGAAGTGGTTTAATATGTTTTCTAGGTCCAATAGAAGAATCTAGGTATGTATAGGGTTTTCCAATAGTAACGCTCGATGTTTGACAATAGCCCATGAAAAACTCGATAGTCACACAGGTGCTATCTTTGGCAGCCGTATTCAATTAGTCTCTGCATTTTATTATGGAGCGCTACACGATTGAGCAACGCGTCGGAATTGTTAAAAATTATTATCATTATCAAAACCAATGTTCTATTCGGAAAACGTTTCGTGCACTCCGTGCAATTTATGATGTCAACGATCGTCCTTCAGAATCCACAATTGGCCGACCTAACGTCACTGGATTTTTTTCTCTGGGCATTCTAAAATCCAAAGTCTATGTTGACAAATCTCGAACGGTTGCCGCCTTAAAGGCCAATATTAAGCACTTATTGCTGAAATTGAGCCATTTTTATGCGATAACGAACACTAAATGATTCTAACGACAATCTAAAATTGTCGGAGAAATGTATTGATAATTCGGATATTGTTGAAAACATCTATGAGAAGTAAAGTCCGTCGATTTTAATCTAATACTCGAAAGGAATGTGAGCTGGTGGCACCCTACATTTGAACGCCAATGGTCACCTAAGGTCACCCCTGGTTTTCGCTTCACCCCCTCGCTCCTCATACGAAAAGTCGACGAACAATACTAAAAGAAGGAAGATTCAGGGACTTGACCAAATCTGCAATACTTTCTGCAAGAAATGTTGATGTCGAAGAAATAAACGAATAAGTTGTCGAACTGTTGGACGTCAAGACCGAAAAACTCTACACCAGTATAGATAGTGTCAAGAACTGTGATAATAGTGATCTAAATGATGCTATTCTTCCAAAATATTTAAATTCGCTTAATCCGCCGAATTCCCGCTCCATGATTTACGATTGAAAACGAATTCTATTGTATGCTTATTAGAAATCTAAGCATCAGTGCAGGCCTTTGCAATGGTACAAGGCCTTTAGTTCTGGAACTTGGGGATAATCTGTTACGCTGTGAGATATTGACTGTAGATAAACAGGGAGAAATAGTGTTCATCAATCGAATAACACTCTACTGCGAAAACGTCTACCCCTTTACGTTCAAACAAAGACAATTTTAAAATAAAATTAGCCTTTGCAATGAGTTACGATTAACAAATCTCAAGGACAAACATTTGATAGGATAGTAATTGATCTCCAGAAAGGATGTATTAGTCACGGACAACTTTATGTGGCGCTTTTCAGAGTTCGTTCGTGGGACTCATTCAAACTTTATTCAGGGAAACAAAGAGGCAATAGTGTTGTCAAAAACCATGTTTTTAAAGAATTGTTTTTTTGATAATTTAATTTTGAAATTTCGCAGTCATAGGTGATTTCAGAAGATCTTTACAACTTATTTACAAGATATTTGAAGATCACAAGACAAAAACCTGAACACGATAAACATAAATGATTGAAAATAACGAAGAACGACATGAAGACTTAGCACTCTTTAAACTTTGGATTCTTACGAGTTCCATAAAATAGAATAAGTTGCACTGGACATATGCACACCGTATATTCAAAAAATAAGATCGATTTAAAGTCATTACGATGTACCGCAAAAGTAATAATTCACCAACTACTTTGATCACATTTAAAATTTATGTCTACCACGTAGGTACAAACAAAAAATGAAGTTGAATAATTGAGCAATTGAATTTAAAATCTTTTAAAAAATTTTTTTTTTCGATTGTTTGCAGTAAAATGTTGATCGAGTAGACTTCAATAACTGGCCTAATAAAAAAAAAGGAACTTCATGAAAATGTAAAAAAAAAATTAAGACTCGATATCTCGTATTATACCACAGCACATAAATAGTTACTAACTCGGTTTATAATAACACCTTGATTATGGTTATGATTATTCTGTTTTAAATAAACCACTTCGAATAATGTATACCTACACCTACGAGTTCCATAAAACAGAATGAGATAAGTAGACATACGCACACCGTACATTCAAGAAATGTGATCGATTTAAAATCATTATGATATACCATACAAAAATAATTAGTCACCAACTCCATCCATCGCATTTGAAATTTCTTCACTAGAATAACATCTATACAACTTATCTCACTGTTACATTTAATGTATAATGTACATTTAAATCAAAAATTATGCTGTTTTTTGTACAACACCTAATAAATATTTTCCATTTTATAATTATTTTGATGGACTTGATTTAAAAAAAAAGCGCGCGAAGCGCGCTCATGACCTAGTCGATTTAAAATTGATACTTCCTTCGGACACGAAATTACATGACAAAATTATTCTACATACAAAAAATGAGATTAAAATTTTAATGTTGGATATTAAGTGATAATCGAGCGAAAAAAAGAAAAGACCAAAGCAATAAAATGAATACGAAGGACGCCCTTTTAGACTGGAATGTAATAAACCCCAGAGGCACGTATCGGAGACCAATTCCAATAGAACTTCAGGAATTTCAGCTGAAGAATAAATTATGCTTCATTAAATTCTTATGTTTATTAGAGGATAATATAATTTCACTATTTTTCTAGAATTTCAGCCAATTTAGAGCGAATTAAAACTTTGCCTGCTGGGGCAGAAATTATTATACCCTGAAAACGAAGCCCATCAGTTAGTTAGCAACTGAGATTAAAACTGCGGTTACTCTAATAAGATTAAAATCTCGAAAGATCGTTTCGAAAACACAATTTTTTTTCGTGAATCACGCACTCGTGTTCTTTTGTTCTAAAATTTCATAATGCAAATTGAAAAAGTTATACCCGATAAGACAAAAGAATAGAAACGATAATTGTTGTGTTATTATGAAGAGGCCGACCGACGACCTTTCCTATTATTACCATGAAATTTATGGGTGACCCATCGACTTAGTGGATTTTTCAAATAAAACTTCATATTATGTTAAAAAAATTTATTCATCTGACCGCTGCAAGGTTACCAATATGAATAATATTTGGAGTACCATGGGTAGCTGTTGTACCAATAAGGCCAATAGGAATATGGTCTATAGTAAGAGTATGCTAAAATAATTCGCTTGAGAATAAAAATTATTATTATTGACAATTATTACCTGATATTGCAGGATAACCGCCAAGATATCCAGGCTTAGGTGCTGCCAGGACAGCGACCAAGACACAAAAACACAACAAAATCAGTTTGAACATTTTTCAGGAAGACGATCAAAACTAATAGATGCTTTTACAGCAGAACCAAAGTATTTTATAGGCGACCCGCATAAATTATAATAGAAAAATATTTGCAATTATTGGTAATAATTTGTAATGATTTCAATTAGTCTAAATTTTTAATTGGCGTCCCCTATAGGTATAGTCTAAGGACGATGCATTTTTTTTTTCTAATTATTATTGTGCCATTTGGGTTCATATACGTTGCAATTAAATTGTTTATCAAATTACAATAATATTTTCTTCAAAGGACGTTTTTTTCTTTCAAGCCAAAACAGTGTTAAATAGTCCATGAAATGAATAAATAAAAACTATCAAGGTCCTCGATTTATTGTTATGATTATAATTCACTTTTTTTACACGCACGGCTTTACGCAACAAACCAAAAAATTTTCGGTATAAAAGCCCATGACTTCTTGAGGAATTCTATCAGTAATCTTTTGCATCTAATCATGAAGTCTGCAGTAATCGTTTTCGTTGCTACTTGTATTGTTGCTACCGTAGCTGCTCCAGGTTACCTACACGGTTACAGTGATTACTCTTTGCCTGTTGCTACAAGCTACTCCAACAGGTACGACGTGCACGAACATGCAGTGCCCATAGTGAAGTACGTCGCACCATTGATTGAGCCAGCTTATGGGTATTCGGGGTATTCCGCTCCGGCGTACGATAGCTACGGGTCTTATGGATATGGATATGGTCATGGACATGGATGGTAGAGAAATATAATCTTCATTCTTATCGGCCCGATCTCATTCACTCCTGAATGTAGTCCTGTACCTTATCCAGTTTTTTCCAACAATGTTCTTGATGGTATCCCGCTATCTCTTTTGAGATATAGTTTATATTATTGCTATTTTTGCTGTGTAATAAATAATGTATATTTTTTTTGAAAATTTCTGGTTTTATTTGTTTATATGATATTAATACAAAATATTTAAATACTTTGCTTTGGAGGATTTTGAGCTTCGGCTGTGCTGGATGACATTTAGAGGGAAAACTACCCAGATAGCACAAAAATCTCAAAGATGTCCACAAACAACATTCAAAATGTCTTTAACACGTCTGCTCACGTCTTGAAGACGTCGAATGTTACAAAACACAACGTCTTTCTGAACCCGAGAGTTTACCAGCCCTGGGTTAAAAAAGCTTGTAGTGATGCCGCGAGACTGGGTTTTGGTCTCGTCTCGTGAAGTCTCGAGATTACACTTAAAATTTTTCTTTCATAGCTATATTATTGGACTATTCTGGGCTATTTGAATATGAAATCAGTAAAGTAAATATCACGGTTACTCTTTACTGTGACTTTTTACTAATTGCTTTTCACTGTGGCAGTTTGGACTTCCGTTATAATATAAAAACGAAAACCATAAATACAGGGTGTCCGAAAAATAGCGTTAAAGCTCTCCACGTAGTAGGGGACCCTTTGAGAAACCCTAGAAAAATAATTAAATTTAAAAAATCCTTCTCCAGCATTATTCTTGGTAATATGAAGAGGTAGATGTGAAAATTCACCTTCGAATTCTTCAGGTAAATTACACGGGTATTTAATTTAATTGTCTGACATATTGTCAACGGGATATTTTCAGTGTTGCCAATTTTAATAAATATTAAAATGCAAATAACTTTCTTAAGGATGCCACTAGATTTTTTAAAGTATTTTTCTGGGGTTCTTTGTAGGGTCCTCCACCACGTAGAGAAGAGTTTTTACGTTATTTTTTGGACACCCTGTATAACTCGAGACGAGACGAGACTTTGGTACTCGAGACCGAGACTAAGTCACGGTCTCGTCTCGAGATGTCGAGACGAGACGAGACCAACCCTAAGTCTCGTCTAGTCTCGTCTCGCGGCATCACTAAAAGCTTGGATAAACACGTTTCGACTTAACTAGCTAGTTAGCCCAGAGTTAGAGTTGACCTAGGGTCAGGAACTCTGCGAGTTATTCCTTGATTGATAAACCGGCCCTTAAAGTGGTTCTGAAGTTTCGAAATTGTTCTGAAGCACTACAGAATACTTTTGGAAATTTTAAATTGAATTTTTAGTGTTTTGAACTTTCCATAATTTAGTGTCTGGAGTTTAAGGTGTCCTTACTGATCATATGAACGCAAAATCTCAAATAAAAAAATTTAAATTCCATCATTTTAGTACTAAATAGCTTATGATTTGGATTTATAAAAACTTTGAAGACCCATAACTTTTTTTCTATTACAAATAGAAAGCTAAAATTTTCAGCGATTTTTATAGTGAAGGACTACAATCCCTGAAAATTTCAGCTCTTTTGGACTTATATTTCCAGAAATAATATCGCGTAAAGCAGTTTGGGGTATATTTATCAATTTTTCAATTTTCTGCATGCCTTTTTTCATGGATTTCGGCTTCAAATCTCAGAATAATTTAGTGTATGAAGTTTAAGGGGTCCCAACTGATCATATAAACGCAAAATCTTAACATACAAAAAATTGAAATTTCATCATTTCATTACTAAGGTAGGTAGGTATACATTGTTTCACGAGGGTTCATACTTTTTGGCTTCCTTTTTTAACAAATAGAAATTGCCTGAAACAAATCAATGACGTCAAAAACGTTCGTCGGTTCTCAAACCAGAAGTCAATCATTTTAGTTTGTCAAACGGATAAAGATTTGTCCGACATTCATTATGAACTAATAACAATAAAGAATTTTCTTGAAAACAAAGGACCCCGCACCCGATACATGAGAATTTCGGAAACATACGATTTTCTTTAAATTTTAATATGTTGTAGGTATGGATAAGTACTTCACAAAAAAGTAAATTAGAATATGGTGGCTTCCTCCGTTTGGCTACAGTGGCATATCAGTTACGGCCATCAAAATACAATTTTGCATTGTTTTTGCATTTTGATGCTAAAAATCAGCCTATATTTGATGGATAGTAACAGCGGCGGGTATACAAAATAATTTTTAGTATGTAAGTCCAGTGGCGTACATTGGAATACTGAAAAATTGTGAAAAATCTTCTTTTTGCGGTGGTAATTGGAAAAAGTTAATCGGTTATCAGGCTGAAAATAAGTTCATATTTGATAAATAATGACAAGGGTGGATATTTAAACTTACAACACAATAATTTTTATCCAGTGCCGTAGATAACAGTAATAAAAGATGGTGAAAAATCTTCGTTGTGCGGTGATAATTGGGAAAAGTGATTAGGTTATCACTTATCAGGCTAAAAATAAGTTCTATCTGACAAATAATAATAGATGCGAATATTTGAACTTAGAATACAACAATTTTCATCCAGTGTTGAGTCGAGTGTCGTGGCCCGTGGATAACAGTAATAAAAAATTGTGAAAAATATGCTTGGTGAGGTGGTCATTGGAAAAAGTAATTAGGTCATCGGGCTGAGAAACAAAAGAAATCATATAACTTTCAACACATCGATCATTTGAAAATGATTATTATTATCACCTCATGCTAAGCTATACTGTTTACTGTCCAACTGCAGGACGACGATCTTGGAAATCTTAACTACATTCAACAATCTCGTTGAAGGATAATGCAAATGCACTTTATTTCCTTGATGCGTTCCGTATCTCAAATACCACAAAATGAGGGATACGTGATACGTGCACACACACCCAAAGTTCTAGATCCTGCTTTACATGTGCAATAGCATGATGTAATAGGATCTGGTAGGAGAACCGGGGACCTTCAGTATTTATTTCTAAGTCAAAGACATTGGAAGTAATGTATGTAGTATGTCTTGTTGCTTGAGTAAATCGTGAGAAAAGTCGAGTCCGTATAAGTCCAGGTTCATTTTGTTGTATTTCAAGAATAAACTGGTTCAAATTTTGTCTTAGCATTCGATCCTACAGCATGTAAGCTGGATATCACGGAGATATGGAATCGCCAGATGTGGCATCTTCTATTGGAGTCCAAGGACCTTGTCCAAATCTCTAGCAAGTTGAAGCATTCTCTCTGCTTTTTCAACGTCAGCTCCATGATCATTAATGGGATCGTGGAATCTGTTTATCACATCACGCGTGTGCATTGATGAACAGATTCCAGATATCCAGCTCACATGCAGGAAGGAATGCTAACCAGTTTGTTCTTGAAATACAATAAAATGAACCTGGACTTATACGGACTCGACTTTCTCGCGATTTACTCGAGTAACAAGACCATCTACTACATACATAAATTACAATGTCGTTGACTAAGAAGTAAATATTGAGGGTCCCCTACCAGATCCTATTACATCATGCTATTGCACATGTGAAGTATTCGCTAGAACTCTAACTCTGGATGTGTGTGCGCATGAATCCCGCATTTTGTGGTATTTGGGATGGGGAAGGTAACAAGGAAATCAAGTGATTTTTTTCGCCTCCTCCGGCGCCTGCGGCGGACATGTGTGTATATACTTTTTTAATGTTGATATTCTATAATCTAAGTATATTCTGTAAGTCAGGTATGTGCAATCATTAATAAAACTATAAAACATGTTTATGAAAATAACCATGCATATTTGTATTTTCACTTGATGGGGGCGGCAGACAGTACATTTGCCTAGGGCGCCAAAGTCGCTTGCGCCGACCCTATATTTTCTTGGTATGTAGTTTAAGACGAACGTCTAATGAATTAAGACTTCTTGTTATTAATTTAAAACAATAAATGTCTGTTAAATTTTAGACCCTTCTTATAACTGTGAGACAGTAATCTCTAATAATTAAGTAAGTAATAATCTATGAAGAAGAATTCTATTATTAACGGACAAGCCATTTCACAGTAGGTACAATAATTCTTAATCTATATATTTAGGTATGTGTTAAACAAATAAATCATATTGTGTCGCTGTCTAGACTCTAGACAGGGCACCAAAACATTGAGTATTAAGAAAAAATAAAAAACAACACAACATGCTTAAATCTGTAGAGAAGGCGACTAATATTAAAAAAGAAAAAAAATAACAATAATAAAATGTTTAAAATGACCTTAACAATAAATATAGACATAACATATGGTGATTTTTACGGACAAGAATAAACCAACTAACAGAAAAAATCGTTAGATCG